AATTGCTATTAACATGGAAGGCAATATTGTTGTTACAGATAACGTTGGACACTTTGTTTACGTTTTCGATGAAGAAGGCAAGTGTTTAAGGAAAATTGGTGGCCTAGGCAGAAATTCTGGACAATTTCGGCACCCACAAGGCCTTTTCTTTTTCAGCAATGACGAGGTTCTAATTGCAGACAACGGGAATCATAGAATACAGCACTTAAACATCGAGACAGGAACTGTTGTGAAAACCTTTGGAAAACATGGTACAGGAAAAGGAGAGTTTCAGTATCCAAGGGATGTTTGTATGGATGATGAAGGACGCATTGTTGTAGCCGAGTACGAGAATAATAGGATACAGGTGATATCCAAGGAGGGTTAAACTCATTCCATATTTGGAGACAGTGGTCCAGAGAAACTCAACCATCCAGTTGGCTGCATTCCTTTCAAAAACATGATTTTCGTTTCAGATAAAGACAATTACTGCGTTAAAGCTTTTGATCAGTCAGGAACCTTTTTGTACAAGTTTGGTAAACAAGGGAATCGAGACGGACAATTTAATGAGCCGAGGCTCATGCATGTAGATAGTTCCAATAATCTTCTTGTATGTGAGAAAGCAAACAACCGAGTTCAGCAATTTTCTTTAGACGGTCAATTCACAGGTAAAAGTAACGCTGTTTTAGGAGAACCTATGGGAATAGCAACAGCACCAGACGGAAGTATTATCGTGACTAGTTTTACAGAAAAGAAAGTATACATATTGAAGTAGATGGCTCAATCGTTAGTGGGTAGAAAAATTCTTCATGTCTTACATGTAAGACGGGTCATCTCTTAGATAACGTGTTTATTTGGTCTTTAAATATATGACGTCATGTTTCTATGACAACCTAGCCTTCACCTGCGTTAAAAGGTGAATAACGGACCAATAGTGTATTTAATTATATCCGTGTTTTTGTCAGTATCTGATTTGTTATCACATAGTTGTTGACGGGGGTAATGTAACATTCGGGCAATGAAGGAAATACGAGCGTATTCTTACTTTTTTCTTAGAATTTTTTTAGCAGAGAGGTTTCACTGAATCCAAACTTAAATAGCGGATAAGTGTTACCATGTTAGCTGAGTTACTTTTACCTACATCTTTTGTCGATAGGTGTGACTATTAGCTTGGTACGCGGGTTTTTCTTCTCTTTCCCCACCCCAGAAAAAAATAGACTAGGTGAACTCGCAATGTACATTTATTTCAATACATTAGTGACATATCAAGTTTTCAGTAAATTAATTTCTGATAATTTATGTGGTATTTTTTAGTGTCTTTAGGTGAGGCATAGTCTTATAATTTATCTTTGTAGCGTAAGAAGTACCGAAAGAAACTGTTATCTCTTGTAATTCTGGAAAGACTCATTGTTTTAATTTCGTGTCAGAAAAATCAAAAATGAACGTTTTCATATTGTAAAATTCACTTGTTTAAACTTTTGTTCCCTAAAAGCGAAAGCCGAAAGGACGAGCGAGTCTGACTTGGCGAGCTAACCTGCACTTTCTTTTTGCTACCGAGAAAGCAAGGGGAAAAAGGTAGTAATGATTGATGATCAGCCTTTTAGACGTGCAACTCAATTCTCTTGTTATTACGTTCTGANACCTGCACTTTCTTTTTGCTACCGAGAAAGCAAGGGAAAAAAGGTAGTAATGATTGATGATCAGCCTTTTAGACGTGCAACTCAATTCTCTTGTTATTACGTTCTGAAAATCTCTAAAAATATCAAATGGCTTCATTAGTATTGAGTCTCAGATTTCGCTTTCGCTTACTTTGAGTAGTTCTAGAGATTTGACGATGTAATTTGTTTTACTAGTATGTGATGTCAATAAAAAGTGGCTCTGTTAGTTAGTGAACTATTGGAAGCTTATAGGATTTGCCAATCTCGTGCCCAGGGCCTTCGCAATATTTCTTTCTAAAACGGCACCTGGGGCCCGTTTCTCGAAAGCCCCGGAAACTTTTCGGGCCCTCAAAACTATTTTTAGTTTATCTGTTTCTATAAACGATGGAGTGTATACACCTGAAACTTCTTGTATGCAGGGAACCTCTGTTTATTTTAAGAATATGGGGAAAAAAAAACAGCTCTGTTCTCATATCAGTTTTAAGTTTTTGCTATGGCTTTCCGGGTACGAAAACGTTCTGGGACCTTAGAGAAACGGCCCCCTTAACAGGAGAGGAACTGCCCTAGAAAAGTTGGACCGAGAAGATCCTGGGCACAAGGGTGCTATGTCTGTGACAAGAGAGTACAACAACTCATATAAGACGAGGCTTCAAATGATGCATTGAAAGAACTTTATTAAGCATGAAAACCGCTAAAGCAGTCATAACGATGAACTAGCATACGTAGGATTCCAACATCTTAAGCCTGGTTCACAGTCGTGTTTAAATTAATCCCGCGGTGTCATGTTAAGCTCTTAGTAGAAGACTTAGTGCTCATAACATGCGAAAACACGATACAGTTTTCAAATATTGCTTCAATCTTGGTACCCATCCACGTTTCCTACAACGTTCCGCGATTTAAAACAATTCGTGTTCGCGCTGTTACCA